ATACTGAAGGAGTGGAAACTAAGGCTGACCCATCCAATATGGTGCCACCAAAAGAACTTGACAGGACGAGGAGTGAATCAGTGTAAGAACCATAGATAACAGATGAATTGGAGGGAACATGCAAAGATGAAAACCTGTCCAATCCTGGCTGAGAGCATCTATGCCCAAAGCCCAAGGGGGAGGGACAGGAGACCAAAAGGATGAGAACTGGGCATTCCAGTGAGTGGAGAAAGCATCAATCTGAGGCAGCCCAAGACAAGAACACATCCAATGAAAAACTTGTGGATGAAGCATCCATTCTGTGGGAAGAACTCTGTTGGGACAAGTTAATTGATTGGCCAATAAATTCATAACACCTAGAACATGACAAGCAAGGAGAACAATCTTATGATTGTGGGCCCAAAAGAGAAGATCCAATATCTGAAAACAAAGAGACCTGGAATGAGTGCTCCCTTACTTGGAAATGTAAGAGGCCAAGTGGAATTGTCTGAGTGAAGCATTACCACCTTCCTTCACAACAATTCAAGAGTTCAAGACATATCTCACCGAATTGCTGGAAGCTATAAAAGACTGAAGCAGAGAGAAGATTCCTCATCTGTCCAGAGGCCCTTGAATTCCATATCCCTTACACAAGCTTCCCATCCTTGGAGAGAAGCATCCGTGAAAGGATGTATCTCTGGATGTGGGGGTGGAAAAGGAACACCTACTGTTGTGTTGTCCCTGTCCAACCACCAGCCAAGATTGAGCAGGCTAGAGCCCAACAGGGTCACCAGACAATCCAGTGCATTCATGCAAATGTTCCATTGGTCTCGTAATGACCAATGAAGGGAAGCCATATCAGCCCAACCCAAAGGAACAAGTGATTCCAAGGATGCCCACATCCCCAAAATAGATAGAACTGCATGTGCTGGTGGAGAAGGCAACAACTGTATTAAAAGAATAATCCATTCCATGGCCTGAAGGCATAGAGGAGAAGGTTGGGCCTGACTGAGATGTGAATTGAAAAATGCCCTTAAATGGATGAGTTACTGTGTGTGAGTAAGAGCAGACTTCTCCGGTTTGATGAGAAACCCAGCTCTTACAGCTTCAGATAAAAGAGCTCAAGTGTGAAGCTCTGCCAAGTGGCAGAAAGGACCGAGAAAAAGCCAGTCATCCATATAATACCCAATAAGTGGAGATGATGTGAAAAGGATACGACTTTCCAGCAAAGACATATGGGGCAGATACTATGCTGAAAGGTAGGTAGAGCGAGAAACTGAAAACCTGTCTCTTGTGCACAAAACAGAGATAATGACATGAAGACTCCGCGATCGGAATATGAATATAGGCATCGGCAACATCAAGCTTTGTCATCCATAGACCAGGTGCAAAATGCCACAAGGAAGGAAAGTATTGACTCCATGGTAAACCGAGGAGGATGGAGGTAACAATTAAGATGAGAAAGATTGATGATAGGTCAGCAATCGCTTGTCTTCTTTGGTAATACAAACCAACAGGAATAAAACCCTTAAGAAAGAAGTTGACACCCACTATGGCCTCTTTGTGCAGAAGATCCTGGATGGCTTGTGCTCAATGACTGGATGTAAGACAATCCTTAGGAAGGGGAAAGACAACCAATAGGATAGAAAATGGAGGAGATGTGAAATGAAGGACACAGGATGTGTCCAAATTCTTACCAGTCCGCCAATGATTCCCCATAAACACAGCCTCTGAGCCAAGAGAAGAAACATTAGACCTCATGCAAGACTACACCTCTGCATATGAGGAGTTGGACATCTGCAGGAAGGGGGCCTACCCCAACACTCAGGCAACACTAGACTCCAGAAGTGGCAGATTAGGAGCACTAGGAGACTTGATGTCAGAGACATGAACATGAGAATTCACATCTGAAACATCTCAGAATTTCTTTTTTGAAAATAAACAATAAACACAAAACCAATAAGACAAGTTTAAAAAAAAAATCATCCAAAGTGTAGGTATAACTAAAGTTATACAACATGTAAGAGAAACCCACAGCAAGCACATAAAGTATTGTCTTAAAGTTATGCCATTGAGAAAAATGAACAGGAAGTAATAACAGGGAGCTTGTAGAAGGATCTGGTATAGGGGCAAATTGATGCAGGTGGATGCAATAATATAACAATCACCAATTCATAACTATTGAACTACGCAATGTATGATTTGTAAACTATTTGTAAATAAACTTGCAAAAAGCTAAAGTTTTTAAAAATAAAATTTAACATTCATGCTATATAAACTATCTAATTCATAACTCTCACATTAAACTGAAACAGCCACCATGATCACAGAAGATAACGAGATGGATGTAAAGAAAAGAGAGGGGACCATAGGGCATATTCCACTGAATTGCCAGAGCTCACTGAAGGAGATGCAAAAGGACAAGCCCAGAGGAAGAAATGATTCTATGAGAAGTTAGAGTCTCAAAAAGAGACAGAATCTCACACGTATGGAGACATGAGAGTTTTGAAAGCCAGAAGCTTTATGTCTAAAAAATGTATAGAAGATTGGACTCACCCAAAGACTATCAAATGAATCAATCATGATGTCAGAAAAACACGTAGGTTCAAGAAGTGTTGATACAAGATAATAAAACTTTAAATGCAAATGATTTGGAAAGGTCCATCTTTCGAAAGTGCTTGGGTTATAGGGTTTATATCATCTTCCCAAATGAATCAGATACTGAATGGGAGTGTGACAAGACAGCCAAAACAAGTAGACTCCTGCATGAGAACGGAGGTCATAGCAAATGATGCCTCCCAGGACCAGGATAGGGGATGCCTAATGTCCAAGATGGTGTACATTCAGACTTAATGAATCCATCCTCTGTGTCAAAGTGTTATGAAGGAATCCCAGCAACAAAGAAATCAGGTGAGCTGGGCAACTGCTGAGGAAGAAATGGGGGCAGCATGAAAAATAGGTTGGTACAACTTTCCCCAGTTGAAGTAGGGATAGATCCCCAAGATAAGAGAAGAATAAAGGGATTGCAACTCTAGAGAAAAGGAAGACTTCTGACCACAAGCCATAAAGAAGTCTGAAGTTTGGGGAGGACCAGGCAAATGATAGTCAGCCTGAAGTTGAGACAAAGAATCTGCAAAAATGCAACATTCAAGTGAGGAAGAAAAGAGGGGGAAAATCTTAGGAATTGAGATGTATTCAAGAAACTCACTGAAGAATATGTAAAAACAACAGCAAAGGACAAAGACCATTTAAGGGTGGCCTTTCCTTCTCTTTTTGATGACAACAACATACCTTCAAATATGACTAATGAGAATTGTTTTTCTATCTGTTAAATTTTTGAAGTGCCAAAATTTTAACACAGGGTTAACAACAATGGAGAATATACCAGTGAAAAAAAATCACAGAATGTGGAATAACTTCAAAATCTTGGGGTTGGATCAAAACAAGAAATCAAAGTAATACAAGAAAATAAAAACTGTATTGGAATCTTTAACTTAAATTCAATTTAGAACTAGTAACTTTTTTTACACTAAATCAAGAAAATAAAGTGAAGAAAGATAAAAAATTTGAATGTTAACTGAAAGCTAATGTAATGAGTGCCAAAATTCTATAATACATAATGAAAAAAAAAAAAAGATGACTGAACACTGCAGGAAAAAAATGAGCTTTCAATATACAAATGTTTCTGAAAGAAGAGATATAGTGAAATTATTTTTTAAACTTGTCTTAGCATATATATGAGTCTTCATCAAGAATCACCAATGAACATGTAATGTCATGCACATCTGAGTGTTTCAGACATGAAAATAGCCAAAACTTATAATGAAGTTGCCATTAAACTTAAACTAATACTTGCCAGTGAAGAAATGACAGCCAGTGACTAAAATGAAATATGTTTAAAATATAGGAGCTAACTTACATGGTCAAAAACTATTAATACAGTTATAATAATACAAAGAAAATATGATACATATATATATGTATATCCAGGTTAATGAGAAAAACATTGCAGACCCTCTGTTAGACAAAATCAAGTATGCCTGGTATAAGTTTAAGCATTGTTCACCCAAATTTGTTTTTCAAGTAGTAATAAAATAAATCTTATATTAACATGCAAGATTATATGATACATTTCTTTAAGAATCTAATTGTATTCTTTGAGCATGTTGATTTTCAAATGTCTAAGAGGCTGTTAAAATGAGCTGCATACAATTATATGTATCTAGACCACTTCCAGATGTAAACAGCATGATAGCTGCCATTCTGTTTGATTTGTTTTTGAAAAAGTATTAATTAATTACAAATGAAAGCTAATCTTTCAAGGTTTAATATTCAATTTGTTTCATCACTGAAATGAAAAACATATGAGGAAAACTGTATGCCCTCTTCAGATCTCTTCAAGCTTCACCAGGTGCAGATTTAACGTGGGCTAACATTAGATTCACCCTATTGATAAAAATTTTAAACTTCTTATCTGACACTGAGTCAATATGAAGTGGTACAAAATGCAATTTTTGTGCTTTATACATATTGGCTATTGACTTTGATATTTTATAAACTTAAAATGTTTGCAAAGCCCCTATTATGGAACAGCCTTTCAATTTCAAACTGAACTGGACTCAAGAGATAGTAGAAAAGCATCAAGTGAAAATATAACCACAACTTTTCAAAATTTGATCCACAGGCATATAAGTCATATACATTCCAAATAAATCTCTGTTTAAAAAGTGCTTTGCAATACAAATTACATGCCTAATCTGTTGAACTTAATTTCAAATTCAAGGTGAATAAGCAGAAATAGTATGTCAAAAATTGAAAAATAATATTTCGCCAAAAAAGTAATAACAATAATAATGTTAGATCTTATAAATTATAATATTCAAAAACACAATTTACACTAATCATCATACACCATTACCGCTATCCCATAACGGCGTAACTTATGTTCCAGTACTCACGTTAGTGGTATTGGTAATAATAGTATTGTAAATGTAATAACTGTGGCGTTAGCTTAGTCCTACCTTTTCAAGTTCAGACTTAACGTTTGCAAAATCTTCAGCAGTCTTCTGCTTAAAAATCTGTTCAGGAATAACGGCGGTTTCTTTGTTCTTTTTGCTTGTTGATATGAAGGAAGAACTTAGGCATGAAGACTTTTTGTAACTCCAAGTACGCAAAATAGGGAAAGTACGACAAGCAAGGTATACTCCAACCTTCCCAGACTCCATTTTCCCCAAAACCTACTAGATGATCACCACTTATAGAGGGCACTGTAAATAGATTTGTTTGTTTTTTCGTTGATAAGAGCACAGCTACACAATTGGCTATCTGTACTGTACTCACTGATGATATCCAAACACGGTTTTTAATGTTGTAAGCCTTCAGATTAACCACTGAGCCAACGGGGTGTGTGTGTGTGTATAAGTAGAGAAAGAGTAGTAAAAATAAAATCAAGCAGAATACTTCAATCGTGGTCAACACATGTAAAGCATGTAAATATCGTTTCTCTGTTTCTGCCCTCCCAGTGGCACAGCGGTATGTCTACAAACTTACAACGCTAGAATCCGGGTTTCGATACCCGTGGTGGGCAGAGCACAGATAGCCCATTGTGTAGCTTTGTGCTTAACTACAGACAAACAAACCTTCTCTGTTTCTTCTTCTATTTCTGTTTGTTTTAGAGCAGAGCCACATTTGGTTATCTACATCAGGGAATATAAACTCGGATTTTAGCGTTGTTACGTCTCCGTTTGTTAATTGATTTTTCCGTAACTTCGTTCCAACGAAACTTTAACGACACAAGTCTTTACTTAATAAAACAGGTTTATTCTTTCCGAATATAACTCT